TTTATTTGGTAGTTTTATATCTTAAATTTTAAATTAGTGTTTTAATTATTAAGCTTAGTTAAGTGGTGTCATTAGGTTAATATAATTATTATTATTTTAATTTAATTAGTTTTTGGTTTTATTTTTCTTTTACAGGGAATTGCGCAGCAGTAAGGGAAGAAAAAAAGAAAAGGGATTATATTAAAGTTTAGAGATTTGGTTTTATATGGGAGTTTGGTAGAACGGCAGGATAGAGAGAAAGGAGAGAATAAAAGTAAGGGAAGAAAAAAAGAAAAGGGATTATATTAAGGTTTAGATATTTGGTTTTATATGGGAGTTCGGCAGAATGACAGGATAGAGAGAAATGAGAGAATAAAACGGAAGCCTGGGAGCAGTAGTAGTGTGGTCGGCGAGGAGATTTCAGGGAGGAAGCAAGGGATTATTCAATATTCCATCGCCAAAATTCTTGAGCTTCAATCACGGCTTTCATCTCCTCCTTCTTAGGTTTGAATTACTTTCTTTCATTTCTATTTCTATTTTTGTTCAAATTTCCAGAATACTATTTATTGAACAATTTATGCATTTAATATGATTATCGGTTAGAACTTTAATTAGGGATTTAGATTAGCCTAGATTAGATTAATTGACTATTTTTTCGTGTGTTGGATTCTTCTAATTTCAGTTGAATAATTGAACTTAATTATATTTATTTTATGTATTTTAATTGTGGATTGTGTGACTGGCCATTGCATAATTCTAATATTAGGGTTCATAAGAAGAACTGACAGGTGAATTATGAACCTAGAACTCGTAAGACAAACACAATTGACCTAAACTAGACATAGCTTTAGGTATTTGTGGTGATATTTGATTGTTGCTTAATGGGTTCAATTAATGTTGGTGAGATATCGAGAAATGATCACAGTTAATTGGATACAACCTAGTAGCTCGACGGAGTATTAAGATATATATGGAGCAATTGTCACTATAATCATAAGAATCAATACTCCAACAAATTGATTATTTAAGATAACAGTTAATAGTGTTTTTCGTGGGATCGACCCTGGATTACTCCAGGAATTTATACTGTGATTGACTCTGTGCGCTTGCAGATTATAGCAATCAAAAATAAAATCACACGAACAGCTCACAAGAAGACCTTGGGAATACACACTTCCAGGATTCTAGAGTTACTTCACATGGATTTATTTGGACCCACTCAAACAGAAAGTATATGAGGAAAGAGATATGTCTATGTGACCGTTGATGATTACTCATGATTCACATGGGTAAACTTCCATAGAGAAAAGTCTGAAGCATTCACAACTTTCAAAACTCTCATCATCAAAATCCAAAACGAAAAGGACGAAAAAATAGGGAAAATCATCCGTTTAAGAAGTGATCATGGTAGAGAATTCGAGAAATCAAAATTCAAAGACTACTGCATAGAGAATGGGATTCATCACGAATTCTCCGCTCCAAAAACACCCCCAACAAAATGGAGTAGTTGAATGGAAGAATCGAACTATCCAAGAAATGGCAAGGGTTCTCCTAAACCACAAAAGATTACCACCAAAGTTCTGGGCTGAAGCAGTAAACACCGCATGTTACTTGATAAACTGAGTATTCATACGAAAGGAAACCAATATGACACCCTACCAAATCTGGAAGGGAAAGACACCAAACCTGTAACATACACATGTCTTTGGCAGCAAATGTTATATATTAAAAGATAGAGAACCATTGGGAAAGTTTGACATCAAAGGAGATGAAGGAATATTTCTTAGATACTCCTTAAATAGCAGGGCCTATCGAGTGTTCAACCTTAGAACATACAGTGTCATGGAATCCATAAATGTTGTCATCAATGACACATCACCAGAAGATCCCACCACCGATGATGAAGAATCAAGTGTTGCTGAAACAATGGTTCCAACACCTCTAGAACAGAAATCTGAAACAGAAACAACAGAGAAAGAGGAAACAAAAGCCATTGAGGAAATTGAGGAAAGCCACACTACTAATGACACAAGGACACAGAAAAATCATCCAGTAGAAAACATTATAGGAGGACTCAATGAAGGGATCAAAACTAGAGGAAAGAAACGAGATTATCAAAAAATGGAGGAAGGAGACTATTGCTACACCTCCAAAATAGAGCCCAAAAATATTACTGAAGCCTTAAAGGATGAATTTTGGGTGGAAGCTATGCAAGAAGAATTGCAACAGTTTGAAAGAAACAACATTTGGGAGTTAGTCCCTAAACCAGAAAACACCAATATCATCGGGACAAAATGGATCTACAAGAACAAAACAGATGAACAAGGAAACATAACAAGAAACAAAGCCCGACTAGTAGCACAAGGATACACACAAATTGTAGGAACAGATTTTGAGGAAACATTTACTCCAGTAGCCAGAATTGAATCAATCCGGCTCCTCATAGCAATAGCTTACATACTCAAGATAAAACTCTATCAAATGGACGTAAAAACAGCATTCTTAAATGGCAATTTAAAAGAAGAAGTCCATGTTGCTCAACCAAAAGGGTTTGAGGACCCTCATCTTCCACAAAGCGTGTTTAAACTCAACAAAGCCCTATATGGGCTAAAACAAGCACCACGAGCCTGGTTTGAACGTCTCACTGAATTTCTAGTTAAAAAGGGCTACATGAGAGGAAGTGTGGACAAAACTCTGTTTGTTAAACACTATGGACAAGACATCGTCATTGCCCAAATCTATGTTGATGACATAGTCTTTGGATCAACACTCGAATGCAACAAAAACCAGTTCATCACTAACATGGAAGGAGAACTTGAGATGAGCATGGTAGGTGAACTAAACTACTTCCTAGGCTTACAAATCAAACAACAAGACAATGTGATCTTTATATCACAAAGCAAATATGCTAAGAACCTAGTTAAAAGATTCGGGCTAGAAAAAAGCAAAGTTGTCAGAACACCTATTCCAACAACAGAAAGGATATCAAAAGATTCAGAAGGAAAACAGGTTGAACAAACCCTCTATCGAAGCATGATAGGAGGCCTACTATATTTAACTGCAAGTAGGCCAGATTTAAGTTTTGGAGTAGGAATATGTGCCAGATATCAAGCCAATCATACTGAGCAACATTTAAAAGCAGTAAAAAGAATCATTAAATATGTGAAAGGAACTACCAACTTAGGAATATGGTATTCCTTTGATACCAATCATCACTTGTCAGCTTATTGTGATGCTGATTGGGCAGGAAACATAGATGACAGGAAAAGCACCTCAGGAGGATGTTTTTTCCTAGGAACAAATCTGGTATCATGGATCAGCAAGAAACAAAGTTCTATATCTTTATCAACAGCTGAGGCTGAATATATTGCAGCAGGAAGTTGTTGCACACAACTACTCTGGATGAAACAAATGCTAGAAGACTATGGAATACATCAATCAACTATGACAATCCACTGCTATAACAAAAGCGCAATAGATATTTCAAAAAATCCAGTACAACATTCAAGAACAAAACACATTGACATCAGGCATCACTTCATAAGAGAACTAGTAGAAGATAAAATCATCAATCTCACACACATTAGTATAGAAAAACAACTAGCAGACATCCTAACAAAAGCCCTTGACGGAAACAGGTTTGCAAAATTAAGGGCCGAAATAGGCATGTGCGTTTTGTAAAGAAATCAACCATGGGCCGTCCCTACAAAACTAAAATAATAAACAAGGGAGCCCATATCTCATTAATCAAAGCCCAAACCCGAATCCGTATCATCCAAGATGCCCCAAATTAAAAAAAAAAAAAAAAAAAGAGGAGTCATCGTCTACCCAAGGCCATCCACTCCCAATCCACTATCTCCCAATCCACTCTCAGACTCCACGAAATTGAAAATAGTGAGAACTAGAAATCAGAGGATGGGGAAGATACCTCGAAGAGGGGACACCGGCAGCTCATCACAGTACACCGGCACCGGAGAATCCTCAAACCCACTATGCGTCGAAGAAGAAAGCCTCAAGATCGTCATCATGGACCCAGTCCCAATCTCCAAAGTTCCCTTCGGCGAACCTCAAGAAAGAGACGATACACCACCAGGTAATCCGAATCTTCCTCTAGTAAACCATGAAGAAACTCCCGATTATATGCCCATCGCGGCTGATTTAGGGGACAACAAAATCGTTGACCCAAATGATCTAGTGGTACAACTACGGTTTGCCATAAATCGAGGCTGGGAACCCGATCTATCCTCATATGTTAGCTCCGAAGAAGAGATAAACCAGAGGGAAATAGAAATAGAGGAACTCGAAGAACCTCAAAATCAAGTGGTTAATCACCCCTCTAGCCCTCTGAATGAAGAACACCTCACAACCAACGAAACCCCCACTTCAATTTCTCGAGTCGACAAAAACCCTAGAAAAAGGAAAAGAAAAGACCCGTATGAAGGGGTTGATCCAAGGGCCAAAAGGCCAAATGATTTCCCAATCCGGGCAGGTCCTCCTCAACGACAACCCAACATTCCACCTAGACCATCAAAATCTAAGAAACCAAAAGAAAAAAATACAGATGAAGAACAAAGTTGGGTTTCGGATTAAGTAAATGAAGACTCTAGCTGTGGAAATATAAGAACTCGAGCCAAAAAGGAACAACAATTAGCTGCTAAAAGGGGGGGGGGGGGGGGGGGGGGGGAACAAAAAGTGGTAGAGAAAGTGGTTAAACCATCTGCCAAAGAAAAAGGAAAACAGAAAGTGGTTGAAGAAAGTAATCTGTCAAAACTACCAAAACCATATAGCCAGAAGTTTCTGAAAAAGGAAAACTTCAAAATGTGGGAAAAATTTTTAAGGAAGAAAATCGTAAACCAAAAGCTTTTTGTTCTGTACAACATAAACAGCTATGAACAAATTTCAGATGTTCTAAGTAAGAATCCACTACTAGATCAGCGACCAACATTGAACCCTATGAAGAACAAGCCATCAAAGAGTTATACGGCAACCTCACCAAAGAAACAAATACACCCAGCAGTTCTATGTATGGAAAAGTATATGTAAGGGGGAAATTCTATGACTTCAATCCAGAACTCATCAATGAATATCTAGGATCATCAAATGAAGACCAAGAAATTCAGCCAGAAAGTGAGCAAATAGCCCTAGAAATTACAGCAGGAAATGTGGTCTTTGAGAAAAACAAGATTAAAGCAGCTTCACTGACAAGCAAGTATGCCATATTGCAAAAGATTGCTCATGTGAATTGGATGCCATCACTACATGAATCAACAGTCAAAGGAAGCTTGGTAGAACTACTATACAAAATAGGAAAAGGGATCAAAGTTAACCTTGGAGCCTATATTCATTCGCAAATCACCAATCTAGTTGAAGACTCTGAGTCAAAAACTTGCCTAATCTTCCCAAGTTTGATATACTCACTCCTAGCTAAACAAGGACTCAAGACACATGGACCAAAAGTACAGATCAACACCATCAACACAACCAAAAAGCTAAGAAAAGGGGGTCACCAGAATGATCTAAAATCATCAGCACTAACAAAGAATCCAACTGATCAGAAAATCCTAACAAAATACTTCAAGAAAAGATTAGAGGAATTGGAACTCTCTGAAAAACAAATCCTGAGAAGACAAATGAAAATCAAAGAAGAGAAAGCTGAAATCATACAATGGATAAAAGCACTTGAAACAACAAATGAAGAAGAAGAAGAAGCACAGGAAGAGGGCCAAGCAGACAGCACTGAAAAGGAAGAAGATGACCAAGAAAAAGGTGTTTTTGAAACCTCAGTTTCAGCATCCACATGAAAGTTTTTAGCAAAAAAGGGGGAGTAGTATGAAGTGTTTATTTTGTTTTGAAAATCACAGTTATAACTGTGGTGTATCCATGATGTCTATCCCTCCTAAAATCCACACGTAGTACTGTGTGTGTTTTTGAACAATCTTTGAAGAAAGCAAAACAGCACTCCCTTGTGATCAACAAAATGGTTCTCAGTTTTCAAAGATATTTATCAAAACAGAATAACAGGGAATCAATTAAGGGGGAGACATTTCAGGAATCAAGTCTCTAAATGAAGACCAACGGTTTTGCCAAAAATTTGACAAAGGGGGAGAGTGTTGACTCAAGATAATGTTTTGTCAAATTATGTGCAAAAAAGGAATCCAGCTCAATAAAGGAATACTAATCCTAATAAGGGAGTAGTCATTAAAACTATTCCCACTAGGAACTAAGCATATCTAGTCCTAGTTTAATTAGGATTAACTGTAAACTACCAGGCATGGGCACTATAAATAAGGGATGTCTTTCAATGCTCGATCAAGCTTTCATGATCTAATTATGAGACACGAGAGTCATTGAGAAGAGATACCCAAATTGTAACACCACCATTTTCCAATTAACCAAAATAACTTATAAAAATGAATTTATTTGATTAAAAACCATTTTTAGTTGCGGAAGCTAAACAAAACAAAAGGAAAAAGGGATGCTACCGCCACGTTTAGATAACAACCTATATCCAAACGCACAGGCTAAAAACAACACTACTAAAAACAACCCAGAACTAATACTAGTTCATTAAGTGTAATATTACAATTGCCTGGAAATAACTTCTAAATTAGCTAATAAAACAAATATTCAAGACTCTAAAAGTTGAATCGCTCTCATGCTCCAAATGTCATGCAAGATGTACCTGCAAAATAACTAAAGAGGGGACAAATTCAGCAACAACAGCCGGTAAGACTTACTCCACCCCGTAAAACATTTTACACATAGCATATAACACCTTGGAGCACATAATTCCACGTTAACCCCTTATTCATATTATACTTGCAACATTCTCTAATACCACTTCTTCACATTTAATTACCCATTAACAAATCTACCACATAATAAATATAATTTTATAATTTCACATAAAATTCCACATTTTACCACTTTTCTCAATATTAGGATTTAATCATTTATTAACCACCAAGTCAATGAGGAGAAAAAATACAAGGCAAGAGCCATTACTTCGGCCACAGTGACCAAAACCAACCAACCAGAGACCAACCCAGTTGGCACGAGATCAATCCCTTAAATATGCATACCCCCATTGAGAGACCAACCCCAATGAGTAGAACGAACTCGATTGTGAGAGATCAACCCCACAAGGTATCCTTTATATAATAAAGCTATATGGTTTGGGAAATAATTAATGTTACAATTAATGCCACAACATCCTTTATTATAAAAAAAAAACATTTAAAAAATAAAATAGCTATATATTATATAATCATATAAAAAATATACTTTTGAAAAATAAAATAGCTATATATTATATAATCATATAAAAAATGTGTTCAATTAGAGTTTAAATTTACACATACAAAATTTAAAATTTGCTTCCCAAATGTAATTATCTTAGTTATTATTTGTATTGTGAAAATTATAATATAGATGAAATACAATTAATAATAAATCAATGTAATTATGTAAATTATCTGTATAAGTTTATTTGAATATGCACATAATTATAGATTATATTAACCATACAAAATTATAATTATAATTATAATTTTAATTGTAATTTTGTATTCTATAAAAATAATAAATACTTGACAAATGGAAGCTCAAAAATATTATTATATTAAATAATTTAAAATATTTTAGTTTTTCTATTTTTTATTTATATTTATAATAACATAATCGTTTTCGTGCATCGCGCGGGTGAATTACTAGTATAATAATAATCCAGAACCAAATGTGAGAGACCAACCCCACATTAGTATTCATAATCAAATGTGAGAGACCAACCTCACGAGAAAAATCCAAGTATAAATCCTCCATGACCAAAATGAATTAAATATTATTTTTATACCAATTAATTTGTTCTCTCCACCATAATCAAATATATGTATACTACCATACTTCCACATACATATATCCAAATATACACAATCTATATAACACTAAGGCTACTGTGCAAGTATATAGACATACACTACACGCTATATACACAGAATCCATAGTCACTCAATCCTTTGGCATAATCATTATTAGGCTTAGCTAAAATTGTTTTAATCACACAAGATAGCAATAGATATACAGATCAAACAATTAGACGTTAATTATATACATATGTACCTACTGTGCACAATGGCCCATAATCATATACTTTATATTTAACAATTATGTTTTCAAACACTACTTCACCATTTAAACATATATTCGTACTAATTAAACATGTTAGGCTAATAGACTTATATTTAGATTTTAGACAGATACATATAATACAAGCATATAATTTCATGTACTCAATTTCACGGA